AATGTTTGCACTTCTATGCTCTGACGATCACTCGCACTCAGGATAAACAAAAACACTGCATAGAATACACATTACACACGCTCTCCTATTTACATTGCACATGTTATAAATTCATGGACTGGTTGGGTGTTGGTTCAGGAGAGTTCGAGTGGTGCATTGAGAATAGACCCTTCGGTTATCACCATTTGTCGTCAACGAAAGAAAATGAACCGAAGAATATCGTCTCAATACGCACGGCAAACACTTGTCAATTTCAAACTACTTGAGAAATTATAGAAAAATTCACAATGAAAATGAACCGAAATTATTTTGATGGGAATTGGATTCATAGATTAAATAGGATTCGAATTGAGAATATACATGCAAAACAGGTTCTTTGCTCTCAATATGACCGACGTACCGACAAAGGCATTGATAAACAGATCATATAAAATGCAACATTTGTAAAGTTAATACCGATTTTCTATAGATCATTTCACGATGTGATGAGTGTTGAAATGGGAGACGGCGATTTCTCTCAGCCGAAAGTCGAAATAAAATCGAAATGTTGATAGTAAACAATGCGGACGTATTCATTTTTTTTTTTTGGCATATGTGCATCGAATTAAGCAGCAGCTGAATAGCAAAAAAGGAGAGCACAACATTGAATCCCTAGTTGAGAATGTGCCGATGATTTTCACCCCAAAACTGATGCAGCCCATGTTCATGTTCACCAGTGTAAAAAATTGTATTCGACTCAGTCAACAAGCATAATGGTCCTGCAGATAAATATATCCCAACTGCATTTCACACTGTACGACAAGCGTTGACAGAGAGAAGGAGGGTAATGTAGCAGAGCAGTGAACGCAGTGAATGCGGTGAACGAACACACGACACAACATCACAAGCAATAAAATACAAAACTATTGTTTAGACGCAGATTATTATATTATTGGCCTATTTGGATTCTTTTAGCATCATGCGTTTCTTCTGACTCAATTACAAATAAATTGCGGGAAAATTAGCAGCTGAATCCGAATGTTATACTCTATATTTTGTTTGCCGCAGAAAATTACAAGGAAAAACGACAACCCAATGATACGAGTAAACTAATTTATCCTAATCGAATTGCTTCTTTTATTGGCGATGGTTTGTCGAATTCGAATTTTGTACATTATTTGTGGCATGTATCGCTTCTGGCAAAGGAAATACACTCGAGACAAACGCAAAAATCACAGTCTGTTTGAATTTCTTTTCGTTTGGATTCGGGCAAATGTTAAAATCATCAATGCCAATTTGTATATAACTCATAGTTTTATGACTTGGCCAATTTGGAATTTCAGACATTTAAGAGTGTAATAAATTTTAATGTTCAAATGTTGTGAAAATTTCCTAAAAATATCGACATGTTTTAAATACCGCTGGTCTGGTCGCTTTCATAATTAAATTAATATTTTCTATCCGAATCAATTAGAATGTCAAGTCTGTTGCGAGGCAAGTAATTAAAATCGAACCAAACGGACATGGTGATGAGTGTGCAAGTGAACAGACGAATCGTTGAGATGACAAAAATTGGATAATTGGTCAGGTAAACAGGTTTTTTGGTATTGATGAAACAAACAGAAAAAACGAAAAATTTCGGTTCCTCAGCACACTCAAAGGGTAATCGAAAGGCGCGTGGATACGATGTACTTTTTATGAGGTTCGATTAATTGTAATTGCTATTTGAATTGGATGAGGGGAAAAAACATGTCATCGGTCCATTACAACAAATATCTCTACCGTCGAATCCAATTATTTAAGCAAATATTTTTTTGTTCTACCTGTCGATCGAAAATCGGTAATTATTCCAAGTATTTGTAAAAGTGTAATGCAAAAACGGAAAATGAACCAATTGAGCCAGTTGGAAAACTAAATGCTGATATTCTTCACATCGAACACCAAAATGTGACTTCGAAGCAAAAGCAAAAAAAAAAAAACCAATTGCTACACCATACCCGTGTGCAAATAAAGTGACTGACAGTCATTCAGTTGTATGTAGCTGCAAATAACTAAAACTGGCTAAGTTGATTGAATTCAAGAATGTTGTATAGAAACAATCACTCTTAGTTATTATTTCAGCCAGCCGTCTAATTTCGGACTTTTTGGCTACTAGATGACTATAACTGAAGTTGAATACAGTCGAATATTTTGTTCGAGATAATCACTTTTGATAGTCAGCCAAAAAGTCCGAAATTAGACGGCTGGCTAGTCAGTCACAAATTTTTCACACGGGTATAATTCAAAAAAGTTCAAATTGAAGCCACAAAAAATACCAAATCGGACTAAAATAACAAACATGTTTCAAATGAAATGACTCGAAAAAAGTCCTGAACACCTCGACGACATTTAAATTGTGGTTTCTGAATTTGATTGAAGTACAAGCGAAACAACGAAAGCGGTCTATTTACGGACAAGTGATACTCATCGCACGCAATTATCGTTTTTGTAAGCAAGTAACCACGGAAAAATACAAGGCTGGTCGTCGTTCGAAGTAACATCTAAGGAACGTAAATGTTTGCTTAATTTTTCTACCATTTTTTTTTTCAAATATAATGCTGAAAACCTAGAATCACCGGTTGCGTTGTACAATAAAATGATTTCGTGTGATTCGATCATCGTTCCATTGTTCTCCCCATGTCAAGCAAACGCTGGTATTTTTTTTCTGTTTGTTAAACAGCGATAAAGGACAAAATAAATACGAAAAATAGACAGGTTCACAGTCACGATATGCAGAGCACGCTAACAAATATTTCTATCAGCTTGAATAAAAATATCAGATATTTTTATTCAATATTTTGTTGCATGTCTCAAGCGACACGCTGTATTCGACTCTATGTATTGCTGCTGCGTGGACGTCGCTGTGTTACATCGCTATGTAGTGTGTTCATGTATTTGTGCACACAGTGGACTGACCGTATGAACCGTTATACACATGAACATACACGATCGCATAACAACGAATACAGACATAACAACGATTCTGTTTTGTCACATAATACGACCGACAAGGTTTAATATCAAACCGTCAAAAATGTTTTTGTTTCTTTGTCGACAACAAATACGAATTTTAAAGAGTACATCGAATGAAACAACTGCTGTATTTTTTTGTTAATGTAAAATCAAATAAGAATATACTCTGGGTTTTGTGTGACAAATGGAAACTCCTTAAAAAAAATTGTAACACAGCGACGTCCACTCAGCAGCAATGCATGAAGTCGAATACAGTGAGTCGCTTGGTGCATGCAACAAAATATCGCATAAAAATATCTGATATTTTTATTCAAGCTGATAGAAATATTTGTTAGCGTGCTCTACGGATATGCCACGGTGGTAACATGCTTGCTTCCTTGACGTGAAACACGAAATGCCGGAAAAAATCCGACTACAGTATCGCACCACGAAAATTTGCGTTTCACCTTTTTCCGATTGTCAATCAATTTTGCTGCGTACTACGGTTAAATCAAAAAATAACATTCGTTTCGTGATGAGAAAATGTTTCTGCCCCATATAATGAAATATGTAAACAAAAAACGTGCAAATCGAAGTAAAAACGGGAAGAAATAGAACCGGGCTCCTTGTCGTTTGCACAATGCACGAGTTTCGAAAGGTTTTCCTTTTTTTGCCGAGTCGATCGAAAGGAAATATTTCGAAAGACAAACAAAGTAACTGAATGTGTGCTATGAACGTCGAGTTTTTCATCTTTTCTTTTACTTCAACATTGAAACAATGTTATATGTTGAATCAACATTGTTGATATCATAGAATTCTTTGGTTCGGAGCTCATTCAGGCTATTCGAATGTAGATTGGGCAACCGAACTGACCGCTATTGCATCTTTAGTTGCATATGATCTGGCCAGACAGTTGGATCAATCAACATCACAATCGATACATCACTGGCAGCTGTTGTTTTATATCGAATATTCACCGTTTGAGCGCCGCTACTACACACAGAGTTCCGTGTGTTCTGTTCGTTACAAGCATTTGTTTGTAATGGGTTTTTCGAGGCTCATACATTTTGTTGTTTGATTGGGATTTTGGTTGTTCGTGCTCACATTTCTGCACTTTTGACATTTTGATCGAATCGTGGATGGAAATGCCACATTGGTAATAATTTATTTGAGAGTGAGTAACATTCTGAGTATGTGTTCAACCGAAAAAACATAACACACGTATCGCATTTACTATGGAAAGCGCATAAAAACGTCAAACACATAATCATTCAAACGATATAATGTCTAGACTTTTCACATGCCCTTTTCAAAACGAAAAAAAAAAACAACAACAGTGAGCCGTACCACATAAAACAGGATGGAATACGGAGCTGAGTTCGAGCGCGCATTTGAATTGTTGTTGAATGGTGCGAGTTTGAAATCTTTATGTTTTCCTTTTTCAAAAAAAAAAACAACAACAACAACAACACGCTATATACACGTTCGCATACATCGCAATGTGGTAGTGTACTTAGCGCGCGACGTTGGACTGTAGTCATCATTCGTATTCGGTTTTGGAGAATGAGCAAACCCATGGTTCGATGGATGGTGCATTTATAAATTATATATGCTTCGGTATCGTTTCGGTATTTATCACACCGCACAGTCACGCCATATCCAACCAATCAGTTACGCTCACACATTCGAATGTTTAAAACAAAAACCAGCACAAAATTTGATATAGGAAAATGCGCGCACAAACGTCATCGTCTTCGTCGTCAGCGTCGTTCAAGCATTTGGACGACCGGCAAACCAATCGACATTAAACACGTCCGCTTCGAAAATTTCGGTTGGATTGTGGCCATTAGCGAAATGTCTTTGAGCAATCAGTTTGAACGGAATAGTAATAAAAATGACACATTAATTTTATGCGCACTTTTCCATAAGTGGCTTGCGGCCAAAGCAATTCTTACCTTTTTCGTTCATTTTTTCCGAGAATGTAGAATATGTGCGATAGAAAAATGGTCCAAGACACGCTGGTTGCCGGTTAAAATTTCATGAAATTTCTTTATTTTCCTCCAATAAATCGATAAAATTATGCCCATTGAATGACATTTACACACACATATTTTTTTTTTTTTTCATAAAAAAACAAGAAGTATTTGATACATTCATTTTTTATGGGCAAGAGAAACAATGAGGTTTACATATTAAAACATTTATTTTTTTTTATTATAGAATTTGTTTCGCATTCTTTTTTTCTCTTCTCTATATAGTTTTGTTTTTAAATAATTTGCGCTGCTTTTTTTTATCATCTAGCTTGTGTGTTCATGTTGTTGCTCATATTTTCTCTCCTGTCGGTGCAATAGTTGTACATAATATTGAACTAAACAATAACTTAAAACGTATCGTTTTCACTTATTAATCAAATAATAAATGTTTTATTATCGCAATCTTTGTGTTCATTTCTACCAGAAAAATGTAGCTCAGTTTTGTTGTTGCTGCTGCTGCTATTTCTGTATGATCGCTTTTGTGATTTGTATTGTAACTTGTTTGTTTCCTGGCGTAAAAAATTATTTACATTAACATTCAATTTAATTTTGATCGGAATCTGCTCATTGGAAATACGTTGATTGAGAATCACGAATGATTTTTCTTCTTTTTCTAAATAAATTTGAAATGCTCTAATTTATTAAAATATTAATGTGCAATTTGTTTTTTTTTTTTTTTTTTTTGCTTGAAAGCGATTGAGAAATAAAATGTGATGAAAATGTGGATGACGGTTTGATAAGCTTCATAACAAAATGCAATAGGAAATTTGAGGATTAAACGCATTTACACCTTCACTGTACTTACAACGTATTTCACATTTTTTGCTATACGAATTTGATTGGCTCATCCAGGCATAAAAACGATATCAATATTATCGTAACTTACGGTTTTGTAGTTTGCTACATTTGACGTGTTTCTTACATGCTTTGTGTATATAAGTAAATCTTAAATTATGAGACGAATGTTGTTCTGCTACCAAATAAATATAAATCGATTACTCTAGAGACTCTTTCCATATATACTTTCACAATTTTTTTGTGTTTCAACTCACGGATCAAAATATGAATGAGCTGCATTTGATTTCTTTTTCCAAGCCTTTCAAAAAGCATCTTATTGCAAAAATGTATGTCTTGTATTTCGGCTAAATTTGTTGTGTATAATGTGTTCTTTTTAACGTAATAATCATGTATTCGAAAATTTGTGTGCATTTCCACTAATGGTTGTGATTAAGATGCAAATCAATAAGGGATTTTGTGCTTATTTTTTCTTTGTTTCAGTTGATTATTTAGTCAGATGAGTGTGATACTGTTGCACAAATACGTTTAAATACTCTGGAACTATTCACATATTGAATACAAGCTAAACAGTTTCGGTATCAATCAACAGTTGGCGATTACCTACATACAATAGCAATATCTGTGAATTCTATTTACCAGTGTACGATTACACAATTTTTAAATCTATCAACATATCATTACCATTCTATAAATTAAAGTTTCCTCCATTTCTTTCAAAGATATTTACAAACAGAACGTGTTCCATACTTTTCACTCCAGTAGAATTGGCTGCGCTTTCTTTGTGTAAAAGATATGAACAATAAAGTACACAATGTTTTGTTTTGTTTTGAATTCTTCGTTCCATTGGTGCAAATCGCCGGACAAATATTTTTTTTTTTTTTTGTGATATGTTCGCTGATCGAGAAGAATTTTGGCGATTTTTTTTCCCAACATGGAATCATTGCGAAGAAATGTGAGATTCTATTTCTAAAATGCCGTGCATTTCAGCCATCGTCCAATCACTTTTACCAAACCAAACCTTCATTTTGCATGTTTTGTGGTTCCGAAAAGTTACCCGATGACATAAATTCGGAAGGAGACGCATTTCGTTGGTTGTTGATGATGTGGTCCGGATTTACACCATTTCCAGGCCCATTCACACCTCCGCCACCTCCTTGATTCGACGCATTTTGATTCATAAAGTTCGACTCCGGCGTCATGCCGCCAAATTCATTTACCATCGGCATCGAGTTTGGGTGATCGATTGGTCCTGTTATTTCAAATGGAAAAGACGAATCGAGCATTTGAAAAATGGATTAGTCAAGTTTTACGGCAAAATCAGTCAAGATTTACAAGCTATAGCTTATATTATATTATAACAGTAATATTTAGATATAAATTTAACCATGGATTAATTTCTTTCCGAGAACTATTACTACATCACTAAAACTAAAAGATCGTAATGAAGAACTGGGCTCACCTGATGCATTAAACGGCAGTGGTCCAATGGGATGGCCAGGGAAGAATGGGGCATCACCGTGTGAATGAAATGGTGGTCCGCCGTATCCGAATTCGAACTTTCCTTCATGACCGAAATATGGGAAGCCAGCTTCATCTAATCCACCCGGTGACAGATTCATCGGGAAGCCGCGCATTTTTCGTGCACCACCAAAAAATGGACCACGACCCATACTCGTCAATTGTTTCATTCGCCGTTCTTTTGATCGCTTATTTTGGAACCATACCTACAGAAAAAAATACACCGAATGTTGATGTCAATAGTCCAACCAATTTCTAATTGAAAATTAGCAAAACAACGCTGAAGATTTTCTAATTTTCCACTTTCGAACGATGCTTGAATCTTATCGCATAGATAAATAAATTATTTGAATAAATCACCGATTATTTCGTGCTTGTTTCCCACACTTTGCGGTTGCGTGTAGAACAAAAGCCGGCGAGAGAAAGAGAGGGAAAGAGAAAAAAGTGAAAGAAATAACAAAACATACGGCCCATTATATTGCGCACTGCGGTCAAATACGACATGGTTACGATACAAACGAAACGTACAGAAACCAATCATACGGTCTGCCGTTAAATATATTCAATATTGCTTCCAAGAAAACTAATAACCAGCAAATCGAACAAAATGAAGAGAAAAAAAAAAGAAAATCCGCCTGCGTTTTCATTAACCGACACACAATCGCTTCTATTTACGGAACAATTTTCTGTGCTAATCGTTCTTTTTGTTCATCGGCGAAGCTGGAAACATTTTTACGGCATTCAAAAAAAAAAAACCGGCTAAACACAATCACTGCATTTGCTTCGCAATTTACCCATAACGCACTCCGTCACACACTCACACCAGTCGATAAAATCGTTCGCTACATGGAAATTTTACGTGTTTCTTCCATTGCTTCAAATTTGTTTTTTTTTTCTCGAAATTTTTTATTTTTCATTATGGTCCGTTGTCGTTTATTTACGTCAAAATTTCTGTTGAAATAACCGAACACATTTCATAAAGAAGCTTCTCACAAATGGGTCAAAGTTCACTCTACCTCATTCTCTGAAATGCGAAAAAGAAGAGAGCACAACATCATTACCTCAACTCATGATATTGATGCATTTAAGTAGGTGACTTCGACAAACGTTTAAAACTTTTTACCATGCCATTTTAATGTTTCTAAATATTTGTGAGAACAGAAACTTAGAAAAAAAAAAACCTGCGAAAACGTTGGAAACAGATGAATTTTCGAGACAAAAAAACTCTGAGCACTTATGGAAGAAAATATATTCAAAAAAAAAAAAAGACATGGTAATTAAACCAATGTCTTAAAATGCACAAATGCGCGGATTTGGTATTGCGATTCGTTACGCTCGCTTTTATGTGCGAGCTCTTAAAGAGTAGCGATCGATTGCGAAACTTGGAACGGTTTGGTAGTGAAAAAGGAGTAAAAACAGGATTAGCGGCTATAAACACCGAATGCGTTGTCTCTGAAATCTTATGGCCGTTGTATCCGACTACCGCCGAAGGTCGCAATGTGAACTGCAATCGCAGTGTATATACTTTTCGTACTTTATTTTTCATGCCTCTAGTTGTCGTTTTATTTCATGTTGTTTTTCTTGCTCTCGTCTCCATTCAAAGTAAATTGAGGAACAATGCAAGAAAAACTTTTATTCGAGGCCATTTATTTGCATTTTACGACTCATTTGCATTGCAAAAATGCTGAGATCGACGGCACTTGGCTGAGTTTCCGATCACACATTTCATATGATATTAAAGCGAAATAATTCGGTTCGACTCATCTGCAACCAAAACGATCGCATAACTTTGGTGAAATTCCTTATTCAACTGACATTTGTTGATCAATAAAACTGTTTATGTTATTGCTATTTAAAATTCACACAGTTTTCTTTTTCGTTGGATTGATCCTTCTTTTATGTGGATCACTTCGGTGAATTGACATGATTCAATGATCACAACACAGGTAAAGTCGTGTAAGAAATGAGATTATCAACAAATTATCATTTCTTTGTGAAGGAAAAGGATTTTTTATGGAAGCAGCACCAAAACCGTGCTGCAAACGACTCGACCGAAAGGAAAGTGAGAGAGGCCAAAACTGAAGTGCTATTAACACATGCCAAAGATAGAATACACGGTTGCCAGATGAAAAGGAGCGCAATCGCGATTAAAACAGCGTAAATCGCTCGATGCGCATTGATATCGGTGCAAATTAAAAGAATGAACACGAAAAATCTTCCGAAAAAAAACCCAAAGACATGAATATAAATGTAGAACATCGATAATAACTATAAAAATTAATAGCTGTAAAATATATATGTACGTACAAGACGTCATGTGGTGAAGGGGCGGCGCCGACAACTGTCACTGCGCTTCGCTTTGTTTTTATGCACGTTTCACCAGTTTGAATGTTGTTTTTGACTTTTCTGGTCATAGATTCGCCGTGTAAAGTGAAGCACCGAGCAAGGGGATCGATGAGCAGAGAAGGAAAAATAAAACCAAATAAATAAAATGCATGCAAAACATATGCAATGTGAATATTTGAGACGAGGGAGGACATCATGCTGTGAGTATTTTGTACCTATGCGATCTTATTTGGCTGTTTCCAGTGTGCTTCATTTGTTTTTACTTTACAAACCACATATTATGGATATATATTAATATTATGAATATTTTGATCATGCGAAATGAGCGACTTTTCATGTATGTGGCGGAAGAATTGAATGAAGAACAAATCCACATATAAGCAAAAGGGGGCGAACATTGAAGCGATGCACAGGCCGGAATATGACTTATGCGTACAGCAGAACGAAAAGAAAACAATCGAGCCAAAGAATGCATTAATGAGCTTATGTGAATCGGTTTTCGGATACGATTTGGACTTTTTGGAATCCTCGACGGAGAATTGATGATGTGTGTATATGTGTGTTTCGTAGCTGCATTTATGATGCTCCAGTTCTTCTCGCAAATCGTTTACATTTGTCTAACACATCACAAATGAAATATGAATTGGAATGTCTGAAATATGTGTTACAAATGGCTGTGCGCAAAAAAAAAAACAACCGAGTTCAATAATCATTTTGTGCAAACATTCAAAAAACCAGAGCATAAACGAACTCACATTTATCCCATGTCATTCCCAGAACCACATTTATATTTCACCACCAACAGCAACAACAACAACAAAATCTCCACTTTTTTCACTTTTATTTTTCCGTGTACTCTACATTTGGACGTTGCCTTCTTCTTATTCTTAAGCCATCGATGAAACGGAATGTGTGCACCGACAGAACCAATTCACATTTTCGGAGCGATGAGATCCGGTGCTTTTGGCCACTATGCAAAATGCCATTTTCCCATTTGCAATTTCAAATAAAGCCACAACATTTAAACTTTTTGTTGGCAAGGTGCGGATCGACGACCACATGCAGAGACATCCGAAAACAGTAAAATCCTTTTTTCAAACGTTTCAGTAATTGAATGCCCATAATTTCTGGCCAGTCAGAGGGAGTTGTGTGCTTGTCATCTTTCAGTTCAAATCCAAACAATTTTGTTAAGAATAAATCGTTTTCGATGTTTGATGATGTGAAGATGTTGTTTGTGACTTTTAAATGTTCAGTCAAAAAAAAAACCATCTCAATTTCGTTGTTGCTTTGCAAAACGATCCAAATGGATTTCGATGAATGTTTTGTAAATCATAGAAATATAAAATTTTACAGTTAATTTACCACACCACCCAAGTAGTACGGATGAGCGTTTATGAAAACTGGCTCATCGATCGGTGTGTTTGTCGCTAAACAATGGCAATCAATAGACAATTGAATGACAAAAATAAACGATTCATTGTTCAACGGATGAAACATTACAATGGCGTGTAGAATTCGAATTTAATTGACTTTTCAAAGTAAAATATCGGAATTTTGTTTGCATGAACTCACAAGTTTTGAACGAATTGTTTTTTCAGAGTCAACATTCATTAAAGTTTCTATTCTTCAATGAAACGAAGAGAAAAAAACTTTGAGTCAAAAGGTTCAAAGGAACAAACAGTTCAGAGCATCTTCATTAATATCGAAAGTGTCTACATTGCGGTGATAAATTGTGAGCGAGTTGTACGTCATTGATCATTTGATCGGAGATTTTGTGTTTTTCCTAGCTATATTTTACTGGTTAAATGCATGAACCCCTCAGCTCAGAAGGGCACTGATGTCTGGCAACAATGGAAATAACTTGATTTCACCGCAAACGAGTAAAATTATGACTGTTGCTCAATAGTATTTTAGAGGGGAGAGAAAATATTATATTAGCTTACAAAAAAACGAAGAAAAAAGAAATTATAACAAAATGTGAATGCCAAACGTCAATTCACCCTCACAACTTGTAGCGATTCTTCTTTATATGTCCCCGAACGATTGTTCTGCACAAATGTTCAACACTGCCAATGTAAATGGTACAGTGTGTACAGGGGGCGGTCGTCACAATTATTTATTATTTTTATTAGCAATATTATTGTCACCATACAAAATTGAAGCACTTGATGATATGTTTACACATCGAACTGAACGTATGAATAGGAAAATGTTACATTTACTACCGTTGTTACACTTTGTTCAATTCTCTTCATTCCGTTTATGTGGGTTCAACCACACATCGGAAAGGTTCATGATGAGATTTTCGCTTCAATTTCGATTTTTGATGAGGTGCATTGCAGCACTTGGATGTTTTCGGCATTCAAGGCAATTTTGTGATAAAATGAAATTCATGATTGCTGCGGCTTCATAAATTGATTGTTTTTTTCCACAATCAATTGACAAAGAAGGAAAAACATTTCATTTTGAAAGCCAATTTTCTAGAAGATATTACAAGAAGTACGTATACAATTCATATCATGAATATATTTACATTTCTTCTAGAAATTTGCTTTGAATGCATAAATGCTTTAATCATTTTCATACTTTGAGATAATAATTCGGGAAAAGGGCTTGAAAATACATGAAACAGGAGGAACTCGTCAATTTTTAATTGGTTAAGTTTTTATTTGTCATCAAACTCTTTTATATTTGATTGAAACAATTTCGGATTTGGAACTCGCCTTCATAATCGGCCCAATTGAAATGCGAGTGAATAGTGGATGATATCCCATGTTACTTAACTGATTAACACTTATCATGCGTCCAATGTTTACGGTTAACTAATCAATTCTATCGGATTTTATCATATCTAGATTGG